CCGGGGTCCCCCCTCCCGTCCTCCTCCGCCTCCCGGGGTCCCTCCCGGGTCCCGCGCGTGGACTGGAGGCTGGCCCACGGCCTCGCTCCGCCCTCGGCCACCGCCCCCTGCCCGCCTTTGTTCTCCGCGAGCGGCGCGGGGGCCGGGAGCCACCTGCCTGGGATGCGCTCCGGCCCGGGGCGTCCCCGCTGCTTTTCTCGGAAAAGTTTGCGCCAACCTCCGCGCCTCCGAGTGGGAAGAGTGAGCGCAGCCCAAAGTCCTCCCGAGCGCGCGTCCCCGCGGCGTCCTCCGTGGGCCACGGGCGGCCTGGCAGGCTGCGGGGAGGAGGCGGCAGGGCGACTTCCCTGCCTGGCCGCCCCTGGGCTCCGGGGACCTCGCCGCCCCTGCTGCTTTATCCTGGGCGCGCTCATACCGGCTGCACAGCCTCGGCAAACCATTGAACCTCTTATTATATGCAGAGCAGGAGGAATCCCGAATCTGAGGGATTCCTGGAAAGGACACGGTGGTACAGTGGTAAGCCCATCAAAGGCACCAAGAAAATGGGAGCCGTTTTATTTGAACCGAATTTATTAATCCTAGTTCCTGGCTTCACCTGGTCCTTTCTAGGATTTACCCCCCCCCCAAAAAAAAAATGTTTAAAGTTAGGCCCTGAACCTTCACACATGGCAGACAGCTATGATAAGATGGCAAGGATGCCAGAAATCTGCTAACGCTGACCTCTCTGCAGACACGTTATCATGTGAGAGTACAGACGACTTGTTTGAGGGCCAGAGGCCAGACAGACTGTTCTGGGTTTACAGTACAATATGGATTCCCTTTCATTCCGTATATTTGCTGACTTTCAGTGGAGAGAAGTTTGGAAAGATAAAGTGTGTATTCTAGCCTATCACATTAATTCAAACGGCCTTCTTTGAACCAATCCTCCTATTCCTCACTTAGGCCCTTAATCAGATCATAGACTCATCACCAGCAACTTGAGACTCACAAACTGCTCCTAATTTACACTGATTTCTCTCACAATTAGCAATCAGTATCCTTACCAATGAACCCACTGAAGAAAACGACCAGTCCCAATCTGCCACGAATTCTCTTTCTCCAAATTCTCTTAACTGATCAGGGCCCTCAGTCAGATACAGTTTCACACAAAAAACATACAGTTGACCCTCGAACAGCATGCGGCTGGGGCACCAACCCCAATGGAATCGAACATCCATGTATAACTTTTGAGTCTCCGAAAACTTAACTAATACCTTAGCAACAACAGCCTATTAACACATATTTTGTATATTTATTATATATGGTATTCTTACAATAAAATGAGCTAGAGAAAAAATATTTTTTCAAGTTATAGCAAATCTCCAAAAATGTTTCCAATATATTTATAGAAAAAAGTCCCAGTATAAATGGGCCTCACTTGGTCAGCACATAATAACCAAAATTAGAACTGTACAGAGATTAAGCATAGCCCCTGTGCAAGGATGACATGAAAACTTGGGAAGCGTTCCATATTTTTCTCTGTGGCCCATCAAGGATTTTGTTTATCAAACATTTACTATTTTCATATTCTTGGAAATTACTTCCCTTTTCCTTTGAACTCTCAAGCCCCTACCCCCTTCCTGGATGACACATGCCTCACTCTCCCTGACTGTCTGGGAGCCAGGTCCATGGCTTTCCCGGACTAACATGATTGAACTTTGGTTTTTCTCCTCTTGAAAAAAAAGAGTCAGTTATTTGGTTTTATTCTTCTCACTTGGATATTCTGTCTCTAGATCAAATACAAATCTAAAACTATTCCAAGTCAACAAATGCATGTTCCCCCTTTCAGCACAAGGCGAGGCAGAACACGGAGGTGGCGCAGTGTGTGTCACATTTCCCGCCAGTAGGCAGTTTCGATGCTGAAACAACATGATACAACTATACAATTGTACTTAGAAGCAGTTTAGGTTTAGGTGGGAGAAAATATACTTCAGTTAGCAAAATTAAGACTATTTAAGGGTGACACAACTTGAAAGCTATCTTAAGAAACTGGTAGTACAAGTACAGGTAAACAAATATAACTGCATGTGGAAATTGGGTTTTAAGCCCACAAGGCTGAGGTGGGAAAATAGCCATATTCAAGTACATAAATCATTCCAGTCTGGCTTGAGCATAGGGTAAATAAAGGCAGATTCTAGGAATTAGGGATCAAGTACACAAGCAGGATGATGTAATGGTGAGAACAAAGATTTGGAGTTAAGACTTTGGTTTGACTACCAGCTGTGCCTCTCAGCTGTGTGATCATGGGTAAATTATTTACTCTGTCTGACCCTCCATTTCCTCCTAACAATATCTATTCAATTATTTCACAAATATTTCATGGAGACCATGAACTGAGAACTGTCAGGTGATAGAACTTGTGAACCAAGGAGAAGGTAACCACTGTACTAGGACCACAGACAAGGCTTCTGAAGACTGACTATGGAGGTTTTCATTGACTCTGGGAGTCTCAAAACAGCCACCATGAAAATTTAAATTAATTCTATGACACCATATTGTTAAGTTAAAAGCTAAACAACCAGCACCCATGTTCCCGCTAAAAGACAAGCAAGAATGTTTGCCCTTCCCTTTAATTTCCTTCAGCACAAGGATGTATGTAGCAACCCCCTCCCCACACCCCCAAACACATACACACAGACACACCCTTTTCTCTGCAGGCATATCTTACGTAAGTGAAATGTGCTCCATTGAAGTGCTGTCTTTCCTTGGCTGTCTCAAGGATAAAAGCCTTGTATGACTTGGACCCTTCAGAGCATGTCTCACACCCACCCACAGGAGTTCTATCCTCCTGGGCTTATAGGTCCTAAATTTGGCTCAAACAAAACTCTGTCTTGATTTTCAAGGTGATTTTAATACATTTTTCATTGAAAAGTATAAGGACTCATACATTCATTCACTCATCAAATATTGTTTACCACTTATTAAGCTAGGGCCATGTCTTGCCAATGAGTTTCAGCCCAGGGCAAGTTCACTATAGATTCAATGTGACCAAAGAAATTACAGTAAAACGTTCTTGGGGTGAAAGGGTTATACCCAACTTTATTTCCATGGTGGCAGGTCAGTCACTAAAATCCCATCCACTCAGTTGAGTCTGCATGCAGCAAGCTGGTCTCTGCCTCTGGGCCTCTGTCCTCGGCGCTGCCACCACTCCAGCCTCTGCTCTGCTCTCCTGCAACCTTGCAGCTGTGCCACTGTGTCGCACAGAGTACTGGGCAGGGCTTTTTATACAGAGTCAACAGCAATGTATTGCCCACATGTGTGTAGTGAGCTAGCCAACCAGGGCCAGGTGAGAATCCTGGCCACAGGAACCTTCATTTTATCCACACGCCAGAATTAGACACTGGCAATACAGTGGTGAAGAGAAAAAGCTATAAAGCTGTACGAGATCACTTAGAGTATGTAGAAATCAGGGAGAAAAAGACCCAAGACCAAGAAGCCCAGAGATACAGTGGAAATAGGTAGAAAAGGTGTTAAGTCCAGGGAAAGGAAATCCTGGGGCAAAATACCTCTAAAAACCAAAATCAGTCAAAGGGAGAAATGAAGTTTAAAACCCGTTTATTGCTCACAAACTGCAGTCCGACCCAACTCTCTCTCCTGCTCCAGCATCCACAGCACCGTCCTCCCCCTCACCTCTCAGGTACAGATAAGCCCTCCTGGCCCAGCTAATCACACACTGACATGGAGATGAACTTCTCCACCCCTGAGGAAAGATACAAATGCACTAAAGCCACACTTCTTCCCACCTCTGAATGCCTATTGATATGCAGATGTACTAAAGCCAGGCAAGATATTCTGGAAATGTTTCAATTTTACCCACAGAAGAAGGAAGAAAAGCAACTGTCTGAGTGCTTCAAAAAAAGGGCTGGTCAACTCACAGAAACTGAGTCAGATGAGGAAGGAAATGCCCATTTTATGCAGCAATCTAGGGATCATAAGCAGTCTTAATTGTTTCAAACTGCTTCAATGGAGTGGCAATTTCAGAAACCAGATTGAAGTCAATTAAGGAAGGAATGAGAGGCCAGGAATTGGAGCCCAAGTGTGGAGAGAAGATTGATTGTAAAGAGTGAGAAAGAGGGTAGCCAGAGAGGCAGGTTGTGGCTGTTGTCAGGTAGGCGCTGCAAGCACAGGGTTACATGCTTACAAATGCTGAGGCAGGAGATGACCTGGCTGCTGGGAGGCAGCCCTTGAGAACATGGCTTCAGCAGAAGACAGTCCACCTGCTGAAACAGGATGGAAAACAATGTGGCTGCAGGTGCAAGCAGGTTTACAGATTTGGGGAGGTACACGAATTCAGTGACAAAGTTCATTAAAATCACACTGAAATAAAGACAGCTTTATTTGCTCCTAAGGACGTAAGCCCCAGAAACACAGTTCTGCTGTTAAAGAAGTGTTCCAAAGGTCTCAGACCATATGATGGTTTTCCTATCCTCAAGGAGACAGGCCTGAAAGACCGAACTTCAAAGGGCTGCATTTCATTTACGTAAGATATGCCTGCAACTGCACTATTTACAATAGCCAAGATATGGAAGCAACCTAAATGTCCATCAGTAGATGAATGGATAAAGAAGATGTGGTACATATACACAATGGAATATTACTCAGCCATAA